TATATATATATATATATATATATTTATTTATTATGCATGCAATGCTCACACATGGAACATTTGGCAAAACGTCCAACCCATGTTTCCTCAAGCTATTTTCCTTCAACAATCTGTGATGGTTTTTATGAGCAATAGAGCAATTTTGTTATTAGCACTACAATTAACTGAGGGGATTAACACAGGGTTGACTGATGATGAATTTGTGATGTTACAAGAATGGAAAACTTGATAAGGGAGGGGATGGAAAGGAGGGAGGGAGGGAACACCATTTTTTTCTATATATTCACAGACAGAAAACCAAGCTAAGGAAAAAAAAACTCATGCAAAACTAAGTATGTGGCAGCAATATGAGGGTATATATTATTGATTGTAAGGCCACATCTAGAATTCTGCATCCAGTTTTGGTCCTACATTATAAGAAAAGATGTTGAGACTCTAGAAAAGAGTGTAGAGAACAGCAACAAAAATGATTAGGGGCCTGGAGGCTAAAACATATGAAGAAGGATTGCAAGAACTGGGCATGGCTAATCTAGTGAAGAGAAGGACCAGGGGTGGCATGTTAGCAATGTTCCAATATTTGAGGGACTATTACAGAGGAGGCGGACAACCAGTGGTGGATTGCTAAATTTTTTACTACCTGTTTGGGCGCGCATGCGCAGAAGTATCCAGACAGGTGGACGGAGACTCCTGCTGCCACTACTACTGGTTTGCCTGATCCGGGCCGAACCGGGAGCAACCCACCTCTGGGGACAACCTATTTTCCAAAGCACCCAAAGGCCTGACAAGGAACAATGGATGGAAATTGATCCAGGAGAGATTCAACCTAGATATAAGGATAAATTTTCTGACAGAACAATCAACCAATTTAATGCCTTCAGAAGTTGTGGGTGCTTCATCACTGGAGGCTTTCAAGAAGAGACCGGACAGTCACACTTGTCAGAAATGGTATAGTCTCCTGCTTGAGCAGAGGGTTAGATTAGATGACCTACAAGTTCCCTTCCAACTCTGCAATTCTGGTTGCTCAAATACATGCTTTTTTGTAGTGACTCCTACTTCTCAACATTATTTGGTGCATTCCTTGAAAAATCCATGGGTATTTTCCTGTTTTATTCTATCATGTGCTTACTGATGAGTAAATGTGGTTGGAAATCTGATAATAAGATGCCTCTCACACTAAATGGGTGCTAGCTTGGTAATAGTAATTAATTATTTCTTATATGTTCCATTTCATTTTAGTGTCTCCACAAGTGTCCTTGACTCATGCCAATGGCACTGCTGTGTGCAAGGCAGCTGCAGGAAAGCCAGCAGCGGGGATATCCTGGAATCCACCAGGAGACTCTCAAAATGTGACTGAAATATTGCCAAATGACACAAAGACCGTCATCAGTACATATAATATGAAAAATGTTAATGAGGATAAGCTTACATGCATCATCTCCCATCCTACTGGGGGAAAGTCACTTATCTTAACTCTATCAGGTAAAATTTAAGCATTTAATCATAAGTTTCACTCGCCAAGTCATATTTGGTTTACAGTAATCTGGAGGTCTCTGTTCTTTGCTGACTTTTTATATAAACAAATAAGTAATATATCAGGCTGTCTATTTAGCTCAGAGCTATTTACTCTGATGGACAAAGGTTTTTAGGGTCTTTCCTATCATCACACATGGTCTACTGCTAGGCCCGTGATGGTGAACCTATGGGACATGTGCCACCTGTGGCACACAGAGCCCTTTCTGTGGGCTCGCCCCAGCTCAGCTCCACCGCGCATGCACACGTGCCTCCCACTGGCCAGCTGATTTTTGGGTCTCTGCTGAGCATGCACAGGGGGTGGGGCGCATGCATCGGGGGGGGGGATGCTTGCGTGCATGCGTTTTTGCTCCCAAGAGGCTGCAGGGAGGCCTAGGCCCAAAATGGGATGTTGGGAGGGGGTCATGTGCACATGCATGGTGGGAGTGGGGGGTTCACATGTGCATGTGTGGGGGTGGGGCACATGGGTTATGTGTCGCACAGTTTTCAATTTTCTCTAGTTATTTGCTTAAGCCATGGGAATTGAGGAAAGGGTGTGCTTATTATTAGACTATTGATATAGGTACTAGTTATGAAATTATTTCAGAAAGTAAGTTGGAACTAGTAATGAATGCTCTTAATACTAGAAATAAAGTACTCGTTAATATTTCCTCCAAACAATTAGGGTGACTAGATAGTGATTGCCTTTCTGCTTAAATTGCAGAGATTGAAAATTCCAGTTACTTTTGTGGAAAGGTTGGATATTTGCATTCCTATTTGTAGTTATTGCCATGACTTCTTGTAGCTTAAAGCAATAAAGATTTCGCAATGAATACTAAGTCTTCTACACAAAGTCTTAAATAACCTTTTAAATTAGAAAACATGAATTTGTCTAGGAACATATCTAAATGATAATTAATCATTCTATATGAGCCAAGGTGGCGCAGTGGTTAAATGCAGCACTGCAGGCTACTGCTAGATCAGCAGGTCAGTGGTTCAAATCTCACCGGCTCAGGGTTGAC